TCTGGGTGATTCTAATGGGTACCAGGCTTGAAAGCTGACTGTGCACCCACTTGCTCTGTGACTACCTTTCCCAGCCTGGCTTCTTCATCTGTCATTGCACTCCTGATCTGCAATACTGGCTTGAACCATGGTCTTCTGTGGCTTTGAACATTACTGTTGCTCTTTATTACATCAGCTATGACATGAAACTCAACCCTTTCTTCATAATGGAAAATGTGGCACATGCCAAACATTTGAATTTAGTGGACTTTGCTGAAGATTCCTTGGGGACCATCAACCTCTCACCACCTTCCTGTCTTCCTCCCCATCTCATTCCTTCCATGAGTGTCCTGTGAAGTTCAACTTCTCCCTCTAGCATGTAGAACAATTTCCTTTTGAAGGCTCTTGGGGTCCTACCTTCTATGCCATATCCTTATTAAGATCTTTTTTCAAGTAAAGACAATGATTTTCTTAAGAGGAATTCTGGGGGAAGCTGTTAAGATATATATGTTTCCATACCCCAGTGGTTCTCAAAACCACTTGGAGGACTTGTTAAACACAGACTGCTAAGCGGCCTCTTCAGAGTTTCCTATTCAGTAGGTCTTGGATGGGCCCGAGAAAGTGCATTTTGAACATGTTTCTGGGTGATGTTGATGCTGCTGGGCTGGGGACCACACTTTCGAAAGCCACTCTATACTCCATTACAATAATAGCTATCTTAGGAGATTTTTGTGAGGAATAAATGGATAAATTAATGTCAAGCACCCAGCATAGTGCTTGACAGTTACAGACATTTAATAAGTGCTAGTTATGATTTTGAAATATATTCCAATAAGTATCATGCCATGTACTTGGTATTGTTATTACCAGTACCACAACTCTCATTTGTTGTGGGTTTTGAACAGTTTTATGTCATGGCATTAGGATTTTTTCTTCCTGTGTAACTTTGGATTGCCAGAAATGTTTGAAACAAGGACTCACTAGGCTTCTCCTTTCATCCAATTCCACTGTCTTCTCCAAACAGTTAATTCCAACAAAGATACTGAATTTATGGTTGTTGCAAGCAAAACGAACTGAGAGATTATTTAACATCACCCTTTCAATTTGTATGGGGAGACTGAGGTTCAGAGAGGCAAAGTGACTCTCCCAAGGTCA